AATTTTGTTTTCCTTAATATTTTAATGATTAAATGTTATATTTTAAGATTATAGAAATAATTTTATAGTAATTTTAATATATAATCTGCATTAATGTGTACTTTCTAACACTCAGAGCAGAATGGCACATGCAACACAGAATCTCACAGAGTATCTCATAGTTTGGCCCATGTCCATCCACAAGGTATTGAAGACAATAGTACTGTCATTTCAAAAGTAGTGGCCAAAGAGTTGAGCATTCTACTCCTATCACAAAAGTGAGATAATCAGGAGTAGTGCAAATTCAGGTAAAAAGGAAATAACTATATAGGATGATGAAGGAAGAAGACAACAAAAACTTAATAAAAAAATATATATAACAGAAAAGAATCTTTAATAGGTAATATGAGACAAAAGTGTATGATATGGTAAACTCAGTGAAAAATAAAGAAGAAAAGTTTTTACTTGTCCAATGAATTAGCTTCTATGTAAACATCAATAAGATCCATTTAGTTTATCTCCAAGAGTGTAAATGCCCTTTTGCATAACACTATTCTAATTAACAAACCTTCAGACTGTAGAGAACTCTTTAATATCATCAGTCACAGGATAATACTGGAAGTCATCAAGACTTCCAGTATCATACTTGCATGGCTATTGTGGCATGTCATTCTGTCATTGTCACAGTCTGTCAATTACGACAACAACCGATTCATTTGTTTTTATTTTTAGAAAAATGTGCATAGATGCATTTTGTGCATGTAGAATTATGCATAAACTTCATCTACTTGAACCAACCTAATACTGTATTATAAATTTACTTGTGTTCACGTTTATGCACCAGAGTATTGCTGAGTGTGTGTACACAATGCATGTGTGTGTATCCATGGGTGTGTGTGTGCAGGTATAGAAAGTGAGCAAAAGAGCAAGGTGTATTCACCTAGTTGTGCTTGCGGGGGGTTGAGCTCTGGCTCTCTGGTCCCACCTCTCAACTGTCAATCAACTGGTGTACAGATTCCTGAGCCTACTGGACTATCATATCTCCATTTGAAACTGTGTATGAGTCAGCCTCCACCACATCGCTGCCTAACGCATTCATCTGTTAACTACTCTGACACTGAAAATTCTAACGTCCCTGTGGCTCATTTGGGTACTCAGTTTCCACCTGTGTCTCCTTGTTCGCATACCACCCGTGTTAAACAGTTTATCCTTATCTACCCTGTCAATTCCTGAGAATTTTGTAGGTAGTTATCATGTATCCCAGCTTGGAACACAGTATCAACCAAGTCTGGAGCAATCTCCGGCCAGAGTAAGTTAAGTTACAATGGGCAACCCCAAAAACTAAACTAAACTCACTCTCTTTTCAGGTAGCTCCACCCAAGAGAATCGAAACCGCAACAGAGTTACAACCTGGTAGCACTGAGGGGCAGTGATACAGAACCTTAAAGAAGACCGCAGATGGGCCACTGAGCGCATACACAACTACAACCTGTCCCAAGAGTAGGGGGAAGCCTTGTCAACACTGAAGTCGAGAAAGGACATCGTGATTAAACCCACGGATAAGGGAGATGGGATAACTATACACGGGAAATGGAACGACTCCTGGCGGATACAGCGGCATACCACCAGATCACAAACCAAGATGCTGCTCTGAAGCATGCCCAGACAAGGAGCAGAAATATAGTCCTCAAGCTTTTTGAAAATAAAGCTCAAGACAGGAATAGAAATGGTGGGCTCATGCAAGCAAAGGCAAGGGACTTTTACATAGCGTTTGAGTCCGCCAACCCTCACCTTTATTTTCTACCAAAGATTCACAAACCACCAAACGAGATCACAGGAACGTGGCAGGGTAGACCAGTGCCACGGCTGAGTGCCACGGCTGCCAGGCATCTACCAGACCGGTAGACTGGACACGTACAGTCCTCCTCAACCCCCTTCTACGACTCCTACCGGAACGTTTTCAAGATAACACACTTCCTGAACAAGCTAGCCAGCATCAGAGGTCCAGTTCCAAGCGGAGCCTACTTTTTCTCAACGGATGTGGTATCACTCTACCCGAGCATACCACAGAGAGAGGTAGCCAAAGTAGTAGCAACCTTTTTTGATGAAAACAAACAAAATCACACAACAACTACAAGAAGCAGGAGTATGAAGGAAACCTCACAGTCAGTTACTGGAGGAAGCCATATTCCATGTAATGAGGGATACCTTCCTTCAATTCGATGGTAAGGCATATAGACAGACAAAGGGCACTGCCATAGGAGCGTCCAGTAGCCTAGTTATTGCCGACATCTTTATGCATGTAGTTTGTGAAAGGGACAGATCCCAGAGAAGACGCTCCAGCAGTGTACCACAGATATATAGACGATATCTTTGGAGTCATGGTAGGTGGACTCTCACGTCTAGAGGGTTTCTTTGCTTGGGCAAACAGTCCATGGAATTATTAAATTTATCTTAGAACACAACACCACATTTTTCCTGGACACCACGGTGTATGTGGATGAAACAACCCGACACCTGAACACGAAGGCGCATTACAAACCTAAGAACCTTCACACATACTTGCAGTTCGACTCATGCCCTCCACTAACCCTAAAGAAATCATTACTTCTCTAGAATTATGCCTTAAAAGAATAAACAGCAAGGACAAAACCCTCTATCCCCAGCTAGACGACCTGTGGGAGATGTTTAGGCACAGCGGTTACCCTGAGGAGAAACAACCACGCACAGGAGAAACTACACGGAAAGACCAGAGAACAACTTCTCAGGCCCCCAGCCCCACGGTTGGAGGATAGAAGATGGATCCTCCCTATCCTGTTCTTTCCTGGTTTTGCTAAGAAACAAACTCTCAGACGTATAGATCTAGATGAGGGAGACATACAGTGACCCCACTTTCTTGGGAGAATTTCCTGCAAAATCCAGCAATGATTGCATGGAGGTGAGGCAAGTCCATCAACCACCTCGTCCGAGCAGGTCTACAACCCGGCACCCACGACCCAACAAGAGAGGAAGACAACCATGCCGAAGAAACCCATCAAAACCCACCAGCGCAGACCTGACACAGGAGCCTGCACAGCACACCAAGATAACTGAAGTATGTGGAGTGGTCAGGAGGGGCCTACATGCAAACAATCAAACCCAGGCCCTTGGGACTACAAATCACGAGTGCTGTCCACTCAGCCGTCAGGCCCTTAGAGTGAGCGAGCGTGTGTGTGTGTGTGTGTGTGTGTGTGTGTGTGTGTGTGTGTGTGTGTGTGTGTGTGTGTGTGTGTGTGTATTCACCTAGTTGTGCTTGCAGGGGATGAGCTCTTGGCTCTTTCAGCCTGCCTCTCAACTGCCAAGTCTTTTTTTCTCTAACACACACACACAAACACACACACACACACAATAAAATAACGAGGATAAGGCAGGACAGAAAAGGTTGGGCAGACTGCATATTTCTGGACAGTCAAAAGGCCTTTGATACAGTACCGCACATGAGACTGCTATTCAAACTTGAGAGGCAAGCAGGAATAAGTGGAAAGACCCTAGCATGGGTAAGGAACTACCTAACAGGAAGGAGCCAGAGTAACGGTAAGGGGTGAGAAATTAGACTGGCGAACAGTAACGAATGGAGTACCTCAAGGATCGGTGCTAGAAACAATTCTATTCCTAATATACGTTAATGATACATTTACAGGAGTAGAATCTTACATGTTGATGTTTGCGGATGATGCAAAATTAATGAGAATTAGTTGTAACAGATGAGGATTGTAGGATCCTCCAAGAGGACTTGAACAAGTTGGAGAGATGGTCAGAGAAATGGCTACTGAAGTTCAACACCAGCAAATGTAAAGTTATGGAAATGGGATTAGGTGATAGGAAACCAAAGGGACAGTACACAATGAAGGGGGAACTGCCTACCTGTGATGATTCAAGAAAGAGACCTGGGAGTAGACGTAACATCTAATCTAACTATTGAGGCACATATAAATAGAATATCGACAACGGTGTACTCTACACTGGCAAAAGTTAGACCATCATTCAGACACCTAAGTAAGGAGGCATTTAGGGTGCTTTACACTGCCTATGTGAGACCAGTCGTAGAGTATTCCATGCCATCATGGAATACCCACCTTAAGAAACATAAGAAAATTGTAAAAGGTTTAAAAGTTTGTGACGAGGCTCATCCCAGAGTTACGAGAGATGGGATATGAAGAGCGCCAGAAGGAACTGAATCTTACGACACTAGAAAAAAGAAGGGAGAGGGGGAATATGATAGGAATATATAAAATACTCAAGGGAACCGACAGTGGAAATAGAAGAAATGTTCACACGGAATAATACTAACAGAACGAGGGGACATGGGTGGAAGCAGGAAACTCTGACGAGTCACAGATGTTAGGAACTTTTTCTTATACCTGTAGCATGAGAGTATTGGAAAAATGGAATGCACTTATGGAGCAGGTTGTGGAAGCAAACTCTATTCATAACTTTAAGACTAGATATGATATGATAGGAAAATAGGACCAGAGTCATTGCTGTAAACAAATGGCTAGAAAGGCAGGATATCCAAGAGTCAATGCTCGATCCTGCAGGCACAAATAGGTAAGTACACACACTCCTAGGAAGCAGCCCGTAGCACCTATTTACTGCTAGGTAAACAGAGGCATCAGGGTGAAAGAAACTCCGCCCATTTGTTTCCACCATCGCTGGGAATCGATCCCTGGTTCCAAGGATTACGAGTCCAGAGTGTTGTCCACACAGCCACAGCCCCCCCTCCCCCTGTGAGTGAGTGAGTGAGTAAGCATGAGTTATCAGTTTACATTTAAGCGGATCAGCACGCAACTACACATTTCTGTGTTAGGAAGGAATATCATCACACTTTGTACAAATCGATGAAACTTTTTATCACATGCCCAATTATAAATGCTTGAATCACTTTTGGAAGTACTGTAATTTCAAATGGTACACGACCTCATCTGAAGCCACCCATTAATTCATAATTATTATATTTATATAAATGAAAAAAAAAAAAATACCTCCAGGCTTGCCAGGTGCCCCCGTGGGATCAAGAGCTGTAATATTTTGGTTCTTGAGTGCCGCTGAACGAGAGGCTGAGGTGGTGGGCACCCCTCCCTGTGCCAGTCGAGCAGTGTTCTCCTTGATTGTTGCAGAATCAACTGTGTTCTGGCGTCGAAAGTTGTTGGTGCCCGCATGGTTGTGTGCATTAGTCGAGACTGGAGTTGTGCCTCCGCCACCTGTTAGGTGGAGTCGAGTGTCAAGAGTGATGTGTGTTATGGGATCATGTTGCAGCTGTGGCAAGTTGAGCTGCTTGTGATAATCATTATTTTCTGACAGAAGTGCTTCCTGTATAAAGCCTTATTTTATCATGAATGAATTTAATTCATCGAAGTCATAATTGACTTGAAACATTATTCCTATATTTTCCCTTCAGTCATAAAATGCTTATTCAACACTCCTAGCAAATATTACAGGACAATATAAAATTTCAAAACACATTGCTAATTCTCATTCTATCGAGTTACATAACAGGACTTAAAACAGCGGACATCTTGGGCTCTGGTTACAGCATATAAAGACAGGCAAGCAACAATATTTATCTTGCTGGATATTCCATCACCAAGCATATCAGATCATATTAAGTGTGTATATGATCTGCTTATCTAGCAACCAGTGCATTTCTTATTATTTCTACATTCAAGCATTGATCATATAAGTAGTCATCCAGAATGCTACAGGTGAGTGGTTTGAAGTCATTTTAAATAAACAAAATCAACACATTCTGTTAATGCCAGTACAAATGCACTACAACTTAACCCACACACACACAAAGACAAACAAAAGCACTATTACTATTTGTGTTTTCCATTATGAGAGAGCTTGACTTAAATAAAAATTAAGGGATGCTATGTAGGGAACACTTAAGGTTTCAGTTGAGGGGGCCACACAGTAAATTATTCCATTAAAAGTCAATAAATATTAACAGTCAGTGATTTAGCCAAGTGGCATTTCACTTTCATTTACAATGAGAGTGAATGGAGGTATAATCCTCTCCTGTCAAATTAGCATAACCCATAGAGGCAGTAGTCACCAAAGAATATTTTCTATATCAAATGCTTGTGGCTTTCCAGTATTTACTAGACAAAATACTGTACTATTATAAAAACTTTAATGGTAAAGCATTTCATCACAGCAATATAAAACTAAAATTATAAAAGTGCAGATAAGAAGTTTTAGCTAGGTTAAAAAATAGAGGAGTACAGTATTAACTGGTTGAAGGACCAGTTGTCAGTGTGATGGAAGCACATTTACAAGCCATGTAGCAATTTCTCTTTTCAACTAGAACAATTAATAACAACTAAACACTAATTACCTCAAGAGATAAATAGCTTATATTTAACAAGGCTGAGCAGTAATGTTTTACAAGCAATGCAAGTAATTACTTGATAACTTAGGAATTAATGCAGCTTTCATTTAACAATGCTTGAATGAGCAGTTCACAATCCTTCAATATTATTCCAGCATTACTTCCAAGAAAATTTTTAGATTTGAATGTATTCTATTAATATACTGAAACCAAAACCAGTTCCTTCATTACCCATTGTTGTTTAAGGCTGCTAAATCTATCAGAGATCCAATATTTAATTCCCATTTCATTTATTTTGCAAAAAAAAATCATTATTAAAAGGTGGAGGGTAAACTGTCCATTGAAATGTAACAATATCTTGGAAAGAAGTCATTTCTCGAGCCTTAACTAAAACCCCAATAATACATCAGTGAAAGTGCCATCTGAAATATGTCCCATGTCCTAACCTACAGTATCCCTTGTGTTTGCTGAGCAGAAGAGTGAGTAGGCCATTATGCAAGTAAATTTGTAAAGAAATGAGGCAGTAAGATTCTGCATGTGCATGCATCACCCTGCTTTGAATGCAAGAAAGGGCAACATGATTTAGGTAGAATTATTAATAAACACAACACATGAGCAGTAAGCACTTAAATCAAGATTAAAAATAAACCTGTTATGCTTGGGTGCATGTCAAATACAAAAATGATCAAGAGCACAAAAAGGTCAGTGGGTGGGCAAGGAGTTGGGGCAGGGATGGGGAAGTTAGGGCAGGGATGGGGTGAGTGGGAGCAAGGATAGGGGAGGGGGAGCCGCTATGATGCCCGTGTTTCAACTCACGAATGGTCTCCCCACCGGAAGATGCTCTGCGAGAGGGCTTGGAGTTGGTGGCGGAGACTGAGCGATGTACTCCCCGATGGGAGTGAGAGGGGGACTGGGCAGCTCCACTAGACTCTTGGCCTCTTGGAGTTAAACTAGTGTTGCGCAAGGAGAGGGAACTTCCAGACCGAGAACCATCACTCTCAAGCTGAAACAGGTATTTTTCATTAGCATATGTGCAAAAGCAATTAAGGTGTAAGGATGTGGTAACCTCACTGCCCACCAATGTATGTTGCACTTAACCTCTCATGACCTGCCTGTTGATTATTAGACAAATGGGGGAAAAAAAAAGAAAACAGGTCGTGTGCAATTTTTACTGTATTTTCAATGTTTTCCAATTTTTGTTTTCTGGAATAATGCATTGGTCTATCATTAGTGGTATTTTTATCACAAAACATGTGAAACATCTGTATGCACATACACTTTTATGCCCCTAAATAGCACACCATATTATATTTTAAGAATAAAATATAATCTCATTGAGTATGACCACATATTCCATATTAAATATTTTCTGATTTAGAGCTTCTATCCCTCTTACTAGTGCTCTTGCATCAGGGTTCAGCTTGAAGGGGAGTTCACCAAAAGTCATGTTCGTTTTCAAGGTGAAGAAAAATTTAATAACTGAAGAATGTATTACACTTATTATAAAATCGCACGACGTTTCGATCCAACATGGTTCATTCTCATGTTACAGTACAGAGAACCTTATATTTTATGCTAATAGTGGGTCAGGTGAATACAAATGGATCGAACAATGGGGTCAGGTGTAAACAAAGGGTATACATTTCTCATGAAGGAGAAAAGAAGCTAGGGATCAGAAGGTTAAATAGGGTACATACAAAGGTTAATCAAGCGTAGTGGGTGCTGTTTGTCGAGCAGCGTCTTCTATGTTGGCAACTTGACATTCTGGTCTTGTTCTTACTCTCATGGTGGGTATAGTGAATAGTTCCGTAATTTGAGTATTTATGGTAGGTTGTTCTACTTTTATGTGGATTGCTTCAAGAATTTGTATTCATTTTACATCTTGGGTTTTGTCTATTATACAAGTGTTTTTATTCAACATTTCTCTTGTTAAGGTGATGTCATGGGCTTGTCTTGTGTGATTTCTGGGGGCACTGGATTGAAGATGACAAGTCAAAAGCCTTGTCAGCTTGGTCAACGTCATACCTATGTACCTCGATTAATGAGTTTAATCTGTTCTGGCACCAAACTCGTTATGTGGAAAACTCGTCTTGGAAACAAATTTTTCCATTTAAAATAAAGGAAATAAATTTAATCTGTTCCACTCTCAAAAACATCCATACTTGTATGACATTTTTTAATGTAAATATAATACTGCACATGTAATTATAAATGTTTTGTTGTGCTGTTTTCATGTTTACTCTACCTTAAGAAGAGTCGTTTCTGGCTTGAGGAAGACGATGGGGAGGTGGGAAGGTGGGAAGGAGGAGAGGGGTTATGGTGTGGAAGGAGAATCCACCTCTGAGTCAGGCGGGCTCGCTCTCTTTGGGAATTTCACCCCACTGGGACCGGGTTGTGGTTCACTATCACTGGCTCCTCTTTTCTCTACTTTTGCAAAGAACGTATCTATTGACAATGACTTTTGTCTTTGTTTTAGGATGTTCCTAAAACGAGAAAGCAGATTGTCATTAAACATGTTCACACACCGGGTTGTCACTGCTTGATCAGGGTGATGTTTTTCCAAGAATGCGGTCACCTTTTCAAACATTCCCAACACTTCCCTAATCTCACTTGAAGAGGCAGAAGCATCCTCCCCTACCTCCTCTTTCCCTGATGAGAGCTCTTGTGCCTCCTCTTGATTAGGCTCCTTCTGAAGTTCCAGGAGTTCCTCAGTGGTCATACCTGGTTGATAGGGTTCTGGGAGTTCTTCTACTTCCCAAGCCCAGCCCGAGGCCAGGCTTGACTTGTGAGAGTTTGGTCCACTAGGCTGTTGCTTGGAGCGGCCCGCAGGCCCACATACCCACCACAGCCCGGTTGGTCCGGAACGTCTTTTAGAAAACTGTCTAGTTTTCTCTATGTCCATGGTTGTTCCGGCAATATTTTTGATGCTCGCTGGGAGGATGTTGAAAAGCCGAAGACCTCTGAAGTTTATACAGTGTTCTCATTGTGCCTATGGCACCTCTGCTCTCCACTGGTTCTATTCTGCATTTTCTTCCATATCTTTCACTCCAGTACGTTGTTATTTTACTGTATAGATTAGGGACCTGGCCTTCCAATATTTTCCATGTTATATTATTTGGTATCTCTCTCGTCTCCTTTCTAGTGAGTACATTTGGAGAGCTTCGAGACTATCCCAATAATTTAGGTGCTTTATCGCGTCTATGCGTGCCGATTATGTTCTCTGTATTCCTCAATTTCAGCAATCTCTCCTGCTCTGAAGGGGGAAGCGAGTACTGAGCAGTACTTGAGACAGGACAACACCAGTGACTTGAAGAGTACAACCATCATGGGATCCCTCCCATCACGATGAGGTCAGTTCCTCACTGTGCTCCTCTAACTCCTGCACATCAGCAGCATCCAACTCCAGATCCAAACTTTGCCTCAGAGCAACACTATCATCCACTAGATGCACTTCCGGGTCTTCCACAGGTGCAGATGCAAGTGCAGGACTGAAAGCTTCGAAGTCTCGCTCAGGGGCACCCTCAGGCCACAGGTTACGTCATGTATAGTTTAGGGTCCTCCATGTCACTCCTTCCCAGGCCTTATTGATCAAACGTAAGGCACCCAGGATATTGAAGTGGTTCTTCCAGAATTCTTTAAGGGTCAGCTCTGTATTGTCTATCACATCAACACACCTCTCCAACAAGGCCTTCATGTAGAGCTGCTTAAAGTTTGCAATGACTTTTTGGTCCATAGGTTGGTCCACAGGTTGGAGGAGTGGAGTGGTATTGGGAGGAAGAAACTTGATGGTGATGAACTGATTTTCAGGAAACAATTCTTCTTGCATCTGTGGAGGATGTGCAGGAGCATTATTGAGCACAAGCAAGGCCTTGAGTGTCAACTGCTTCTCCAAGATATTTCCCCACCAAAGGGCCAAAAACGTCATTGACCCATTCAGTGAAGAATATCCGCATGACCCAGGATGTCTTATTGAACCTCCACATCACATTCAGTCGCGCCTTATACACTTTACACGCCTTGAACACGCTTTGATTTTGAGTGGTAGACGAGCAGCGGCTTGACCTTGCAATCGCCACTTGCATTGGCGCAGAGCACGAGAGTAAGTCGATCTTTCATCGGTTTGTGGCCAGGCGAAGATTGTTCCTCTTGTGTGATGTAGGTCCTCTTCATCATTTTCTTCCAAAACAGGCCAGTCTTGTCAAAATTTAAAATTTGTTCTTGTTAAAAACAAGAACTCCTCTCTAGCAACAAATTCCTGGAACTCTGGTACAAATTTCTCAGCAGCAGCTTTATCAGAGCTGGCAGCCTCCCCATGTCGCACAAGACTGGATACTGCTTCTCTTCCTAAATTTCTCAAACCATCCACAGCTTGCCTTAAACATCTCCTCTTCTTCAGACGACGCACCTGGTGTCTTCCTGACAAGGTCCACATGCAACTTCTTGGCCTCTGCCCAAACAAGAGCTTCAGAGACACTATCGCCATGTAATTCCCTATCATTCATCCAGACCAGCAGTAGCTTTTCAACCTCTTCTAGGATTTTTGAACATTTCTTGGTAACCTTGGTAACTCCTTTAGTCACTTCAAGCATCTTAAATTGTTCCTTCCTCTTCAGAATGATACAAATCATTGATGAGAACCTGCCATACTCCCTGACGAGATCAGTTACATGGACACCACATTTGTGCTTTGCTATGATTTCCTTCTTCACTTCCACGGTAACCGTCGCTTTCTTCCCCTTCCCAACACTGTCTTTAGCAAGCAGTAGCTTTGGCGACATCGTGGGTTACAAATTGTAGTCACAAAACAACAAAAAACCCAAAGAAAAGCACAAATAAATCCAGAGGGATGCTTGTCGTGGGCGATACAACAACAACACTGGCATCTGAGGCTTCCAAGAATTTGCGAGAACCCGCGAGACGCTAAGCAGCACCATGTGGTTTTGCTTGTTAATTAATAGAGGTGAAGCTCGTCAATAGAGACAAATTTGCTGCGAGTGGTTCGCTCGTTACTCAAAATGCTTGTAGATAGAGCCACTCGTCAATCGAGGTGCCACTGTACTTTGATTGAAGGTCACATCCTTCATGGGGGAAGGTGTGCATGTATGCAACATTTGACTGCTGTAGAGGGTTCTCTATCAGCTTCGGGCTGTTTTTGATAAGGAGGTCGGTAGTCTTCTTTGTTTTGTAGAATATGATCAGGTCTGTTTTGGTTAGGAGTAATGCCTTTTACCCCTTTACAGATTATTTCTTTCATTACTCTTTCTTCTTTTTTATGTTCACTGTGCATGGTTGATTTGCAATATAATTTTATTGGAAGTATTGTGGTTCCTGTTCTAGGTTCAGGATTGTACCATCAGTCCAAGTGTCTTCTTATAGCAGCATTTATTTCCATGTTGTTATATCCATTGTTCACCAATACCCGAGTTATTCTTTCAAACACTACTCACATTGCTCCATTCGGAGCAGTGGGTAAGCGCTTGACGAATATAAGCATTGAGAACGCTGGCTTTGTATCTTTGGGGGCACTCACTTTTACCATTCAACATAATCCTATGTTGGTAGGCTTAGTATATACGTTGGTGTTTAAAGAGGTTCCTGTTTTGTTATTAATACACCTAAGAATGGCAGATTTATTTTCACTATTTTCATGTGTAAATCAGAGCACCGACTCTCTAGATGACTTTTTAGACCAATTAGTTCATCTTAGTCTTTTACTATGACGAATATGACATCTACATACAGTTGGTTTTTGTCAGCTACTGAAGACTGTCTTCGATGGTTCCCATATGAAAATTAGCAGAAATGTAAAAAATAAGTAACACTTTCTTCAGTTATTCAATTCTTTTTCTTCACCTTGAAAACGAACATGACTTTTGGTGAACTCCTCTTCCAGCTGAACTCTGATGCAAGAGCATTAGTAAGAGGGATAGAAGCCCTAAATCAGAAAATAGTTAATACGAAATATGCGGTCACATTCCACAAGACATGCATAAAAGAAAACCT